ATAAATCTTTAAAAAAAAAAATTAAAAAAAAAAATTAAAAAAAAAAAAAAGAGAGAGAGAGAGAGCTTTGTGTGTGTGCTAGCACAATCTAGGACTGGGTAAGCTGTTCACACTGCATTAATTTTGAGTCAGGTCAAAACACCACCAACTACAACAAAATTCCCACAACAGTAAAAATTCTCTTGCCCTGGGAAGGAAAGGGAGCTCCACATCCAGTCATCCTCTTCGGTGCGTGCCAGCCTATGGTTTTCATAGCACTGGTGATTTCGGTTTTCAATACTACTGTAAAGCTGTGGAGACAGGAATCAGTTCAAACTCCACAAGGCTTGCTGTTCTTACCATGACTCTGGCATTTTTCTTTCGGATGGTCACAAACCTCTAATTATTGTCTGGAGTTGTGAAGAAACTTGTCTTATATTTGACAGTATCTTTATTGCTTTTATATGGGGGTGGATTTTCAGTGTTCTTATGACACACCAACAACAATATGTGGTTACCTATCATCTAACTTCTTTCATAAGAAGTCTCATTTATTTCAGTTTTCTAGACTGGTGATCCTGGAAGGCTCTACCTAGGTCTGGGTAGCCACACCATTAGCAACCACCTGTTGGCAGCAAGTGTCCACTCGGAACTAAGTTGACCTGGGCTTGTTTCATTTACTTCACCAAGGATGCTTGAAAAACAAGCTTTTTTTTTTTTTTTTAAATATTAATGAAAATATTAATCTTCAAGGCATTTCTTGAGCCATTTTCAATTCTACATCTCAGGTTTAAGAATTTCTGACCAAGGTAATTACATGTTATCAGGGCATAAGGGAATTCCATGAATCTCTTTTCAATACCTTTTTATAGCCCTCAGGATTAAAATGAAGTTATTCAATGCTATGATTCTCAAACATCGGTGTGCATAGCTTGGTAAAGGCATACATACCTCCAGTTTCAGAATCAGTAACTCTCGGGTGGAAGCTGGAAGTCTGTAATTCAACCACATTTTTATAGAAACAGCTACTGCTGGTTCGGAGCTACATTTTGAAAACTGTGTTTTATGTATTTTAAAAAAAGTAAAGTATACATAACACAAAATTTACAAATCCAACCATGTTTAAGTACACAGTTCTGTGGCATTAGGTACATTCACGCAGTTGTATAACTCTAGGACCTTCTTTAATCTTCCCCAAAGAACTACTGGTTTAATGCGAATTACAAGGCCCCATCTCACGCCATCCTGTCCTGTGACCTTCTGGTAGACACTGATATAGAAAAGATCAAGGTTAACTTTAGGTGAGCTAAAAGGACACAAAAGAGGAAATAAAAAAAGAAACAAATTATCTCCTTAGTTGTAACTGTTCTTTCCCACCCCTCTTATTTAGAACAGAGTTCAGAACAGAGAATGTGAACTACAACACAGACTCTCAGTTCACTTTGGGTAATACACAGAGTCAGAGAGAGGAAAAATAAATGATGCATTTATGTGCTTGGAATTGAGTATGTGTGTGTGAGAGAGAGAGAAAGAAAGAGAAATTTAAAATGAGGAAAGGGAAGTTCTCTTTGAGAATGACATTTCAAAGCAAGTTAAGAGAGCTAACAATACCGACACTTGGTGAAGTCTATTTCAAACAGAAACAATAGGCAATGCAAAGGCTCTAAATAGGTTCTTGGGACCACAAAGAGGAGGCCAAGGTGACTGGGATGTAATGACTAATGGGAAGGAAGACAGACTTTGAAGTAACATATACTTTGGTGGAGGAGAAGGTGGCCAACAGGGATTTGAAAGCATGAGACGATTACATAAATCCTCCCACTTTTCCTTAATACAACTTCCTACTGGATGCCAGTATTTTTCACTTCCCTATAGAGAAAATGCTGATTAAGTCAGACACAAGTATGATTATATCATACACATTAGAAATACTAGACCAATGTGTGAAATATTAAAAGGCCAACATTACTATACATCATTAAAAAATAAAAAAAGAGAAGTACTTCAGGTGATCTTGAGGTATAATTAGAAAAAACAATGTATAAAAGTTTTAGTATCATTAAGACTTTTTTCTACCTCAAAGAAATAGAATATATTGTCCCAAACATCCAAGTCTGAAATTTTCCATCTTCTGGTGGATTACAATTAAAAATAAACATACAAACCAAAAGAAAAACAGCCCTTTAACCTACTCTGGCTGCACTTGCTGCCTTTCCCAGGCTGGGAAAGGCACATCTCCAGGGCCCAAGCAGGAAGTAAGAATGAAGCTCCACAAGTGTCCCTTAAGGCTCTATCTGGTAAATATCTGCCTAATCTCCAGAGTAGAGGTTCTCAAATTTTAGTGTGCATCAGAATCACCCTACAGACTTGAAACACAGATCTCTCAAATACATTTCCAGAGTTTCTAACTTAGTATGTACAGATGGAGCCTGAGAACTTATAATTCTAACAATTTTCCAGGTGATTCAGCACTGTTGGTCTGGGGCGCTCATAATTTGAAAATCAGTGTCCCAGGGGGTATTATTGCTGGCTCGTGGCTATAACAGGTTGAGAGGAAGTTGTCTTAAGTGCTGGCTTCTGCCCTGTTGTCCCTTTTGGTAAAAATCCTTTCCAGCCCCAAGATAGACAGTGCAGAGAAGTGGGGATGCCTCTTTCTCAGAAACTTTCAATACTCTTGCAGATTTATTTGTATGAATGCGTGCTTCGATTTCACAAGTAAATCAACATTTCGTGACTCTTCCATCTCATATCAAAGAAATCCCTCTAGCCACAACAAATACATATACACACGTTTCTTGAATAAATCTGAACTAAGCCAAGAGAACCAGTTCTAGAATTAGAGGGCACTGTAACATGTTCTGTCAAAGTGATCTTAGACAAGTGACTTAATACTCTGACCTATGAATCACTGTAAAATGGAGAGAAGATAAGGTTTACATGAGACAACTGCTATGAAAAATCAATCAGGTAAAATAGTGTATGGTCAGAAGTAGGCTAAAGAGAGCAGATCACTTGGTGTAGGCTCACCAAAACATCAAAGGCTCAGAGATCATGTGGAAACTGTTACACATATAAATCCTTAATCTATGAGTAAAGGAAAATGTCCTTAAGTCACTAAATTAAATGTGACTGAATGCCAAATGAAGTCCTTAAACATCAAAAGTCTACAGACAGGTTTTGGAATCTTTCTTAAGCCAAGATAAAATATTTGCACACACATACAGTTTTAGTTCCTATGTGGCCAAAGTCCCTTTCTCTCAGTTTGTTTAGCTTTCTTGTGGAGCAAATCATTCATTCACTTATCTTCCTGAAAGCTTATCTAATGATTAATGGAATGTATACCAAAACATTTAGGCATATGATCTCAACAATGAAAAGATCAATGAAGTCAATCTCTTTTAGTGGAGGGAGAATTTGTTTTAAAGGATATAAATAATATTCTCCAGTTTATAGGATGTTTTCCAGTGTATTGTTCAAGGAAACACAAAATAAATCAGGTAAAAGGTAATTTTAAAGAAAAATTACTTTGTTTACAGTGCGCTGTATGTTATTTCATCAGCCAAGTCTAAAATTTGAATTAACTTTTAACCTGATGCCACCGACTATAAGATCAATCATCATACCTTATCAAAGCTCAGGAAGGTCAAAAAGGGAGATTTGCTCAGGTGACTAGAAAAGAGCCAAGAAGAAAACACTATGGTTTTCAGTACCAAAGAAGATCCAGTAAGCTGACTCCAGATACGCATTACAAAACGTCCACTAGGAAAACCAACTAACATATAACACTCTGCTCCGAGAATCTTAAAACACTAAATTGTAGAATTGTTTACATTCATCCGACGATTTCAGAACACACCTGCTATTAAGATGAAAACTTTAACCCTTGCCTAATAAAACAACGTATAGGTAAGAAACCGTAGATTTTCTCTTGAGAGTAGGAATACTCTCAAGATGAGGCAAGGAAGGGGGAGAGAGAATGGTGTCTTAAGACTCCAGTAGAGTAACAGATGGCAGAGATTAAAAAAAAAAAAAAAAAAAAAGCTGCATCACCCAGGCAATGGGGAGTTAGGGTGATGCTCGGCGGAGGCTGTGGACACTGGGCGAGAGTAGGGGGACGTTAGGATGGCGGCGAGCCAAGTGCGAGGGTCACTCCCCAGCAAGACCCGTGTCTGCTAGTCAGCTGCCCTCTCGCTCCTTCCTCTCTCCGGTTACCACCACCAAGGGGTCGAATCCTTTGCACTGGAGGGAGTGCGTGGTGGAGCAATGATTCACCTGGAGCCTGGGGCAGCGTAGGACTCCCGCGCCCCCAGATTCCGAGCTACCTTTCCGCCCTCCCCCGGCAAGACCCGCGTCTCACCCGCCACCAGGCGGAGGCTCCCCATGGCCGCCTACTTCGTCGGCCGAGACGGCGCCTCGGGGTCGGCGGGAACGCGGGTGCGCTCAATGTCACTGAGCGCCGCCGTGAGAAACCCGCGGACAGCAGCAGGCAGGTCGTTTCGGACGTGGGGGCGGAGCTAGCGGGGCGTGCGTGACGCGCCGGCGTGTCGGCGTGTCGTGCCTGACGCATGGGTCGTGTGGGACGTGCGTGACGCGCAGAAGGTGAGGGTGGATGGCCAAACGTGCCCCGCCGACTGGTGCTGAGCACTCAGTTCCCGCGCTCGCTAGTTTAGTGTTGCTTGGTGGAGTCTGGCTCACGGGGGCCTTGACGGTTTAATTCTCAGGTCCTAGCAAACCACTCGTCTAAAATAGGAGAAAGTAATGTGCTCATCCTAGACCTTTAGTGAACTGCAGTCTGGAGATCGCCCAGCCTAGATAAACCAGTATTTCACTACATTGTCTTCCTGTGATATCGGTAGAGTGTGCGTGTGGCTTTAGAGAAAACACATAAAGGGCTCCTAGGGTGCGTCTCTTGGTGATTTTGGAGTATCTTGGGCTATTCGGAGAAATTAGTATGTATTCTCTCGACTTTGCTTTATACTTAGCTATTTTTCTAAAACATTTCCACAACTAAGCACCTTACTCAACACTTAAGCCACCAACACGGTCAGAAATGTTTGTTTTTTCCTTTGTCCCAAATTCGTAACAAACAGGCGCCTCTGCTCTATGGACTGGAGGTAGAGAACGAAAGGTCCATCTTGAGCCACCTGGTTGGTTTGACATGGAAATTGTTTCCTTTTTTTTTTTTTTTTTTAAGAAAATAGGATTGGAGTTAAACGATCCGTTCAAGGTGTGGCCCTTTTTAGGAGAATACATTAAAGAGTAGGAGTGAAGAGGATACCGGGGTTACAGGACTCGTCCCTATAAAATATGGGAAAGAGGAACTCGGCTCTGCTTTCTCGCCGACTGCTCTCGGAATATTTTTTGTCAGGCTGCGCGGCAGACACCTTTGCCTCGCGGGGATTGGCTCGCGGTGGGGGCCTAGAGCTCGTCCAATATGGCGGCGCCCAGTGGCGGTGTGAACTGTGAGGAGTTCGCGGAGTTCCAGGTGATGGGATTTTCCTCATATTGCAGACCTATCCTTCTTTTTGTCCCCGAACCCTGTTCTCCGCTCTGGACTGGGGAGAGAGTGTGGGCCAGTTGTGGAAGAAGCGGAGAGTTCAAGGCTCACTTTTCGAGCCATTGGAGGTCACGGGGGGCGCGGGCTTGGCGTTAAGGAGTGAGGCTGCTGGGAGGGGGGTCATGGTTCTTCCAGGGCTGCCCGGCTTTGGATAACCACATCGGGACCTCCGGGTGGTTCTGCTGTGGTGAAGCCGAGTTCGAGTCCGGTGGGTAGGGAGTATAACTATCTTGAATTCAGTGCCTAGCCTCTGTTATTCCCCTCCAACTTTAAAGTTAGCATTTGTAAACAAGAACAAAGTGAAGGAAGTCCGATCTACCTGATGAGAAAACAAAAATCTTGGTCTAAGTTTTACTATTTTGATGGGAAAGAATATTTGGAGCCTTGGAAGGGCACTTCAGTCCAGTACTACTGCAATGCTACTGCCTTTCTAACCATTAAAGAAAAGGTTACATTTAAGAAAGCCTGTTTCTTTTATATATTCAAACAACAAACTTTTAGGGCTAATTATTAATCCATGAATTGAAGAACAGGGTTCTGGATTTTTACCAAGTTGTTGTGAAAGCTGTCTGTTCCGATGCAGGTATAAAAGTGCTGCTGTAGATAATAAGAATTAAAAAAATGAATTAAATGATTATGGCCGTGCAAATGTGCTTTTAACTAAAGATATTGCAAAGTCATTGACCTTTCTGTAGTAAGCTTTGTGCTTTGACCATCGTTTTGTAGGGAGTCTCCACAGATGAATTATTTCACAAACATCATTTAGCCAAAAGAAGTTTAGGTATCTTTCCGTCATTATTTGCACCCTTTTTTCTAAAGCTACGTTTTTAGTATATCAGGACAACAACTGACTTCAGATGTGATCAGAGTGCCCAACAAATACTACTACTTGCAAAAATCCTAAGTAGGATAGCAAAAAGACTATTCAGATTAAAACAAAGAAGTTATGAAGTTAATTGTTCGATTTGTGGCTTGTTCTTGTTACTATGATTTAACTTGTTACTGAACTCAAATAATTGAGCAATGATAACCTTAAAATACATGGGAAAGAGCCCTTGAACTTATCACTTACTCACTTGGGGAATTAACTTTTGAACTGGCACAATTAGAGTATGTTAAATAACATTTAAAATTGCTTTTATCTCTATAATTATTGAATCCCTAAAGCCAAATTTCAAAAGCTCTCATATCTAATTAAACAGACAGTGACTAAAGAACACTAATTTTTCTTTTGGAAGGTCAGTAAGATAAGTAGAGTAAAAGCTAAACTGTCTTGCAAAACCATTCCATTCACAGAGAGAATATAAGGAAATAGGTGATAAAATGAGTCTAGTTAGTGAAACCTGTGAGAAGTTTGTGGGTAGTTTCTCTAGGACTTTTCCAAATGTGTGGTTTACAATAGAGAACACCCAGTTTAAAAATCAGAAGATCAGTTTTCAAGAGCTGGCATGGATTGCCATTTAACATCAGAAATGAGTACAAGAACATTTGCCTCTTATTGATTCAGAGGTACAGAACAATGCAAGTGAAGTGCTGTAAAAATGTATGACGTGTAGGTTTAGGTGAGCTTGGTAAAATTATAAAATGTAGTTAACTGGCATACTCACAAATTAAAGGTTTTTAATCCTATGAAACCATTACATTTTATGGGGGTACATAACTGTGAAAAACTGTACACTGAATACTATGGCAGAAGAACAGGATCATGTACTTCCATTATAAAGATTAGATGCCTTTCAATGTTATGAAAATGTTGAAACACTATAGGAAAGTTGAAAAAAATTTTCCAAGACTTAACACTCTGGAAAAATATCTCACATCCACTTGAACTCATGTACTCATCAGCTAGAATCTAGTTATTTGCCATATTTAATTTGTCAAATGTCCATTTTTCAGTTTACCCATCAGTTCACCTTTTATTGTTTCATCTTTCGAAATAAGTTATAAACAGCCATACTTTTTACCCATAAGTATTGTACCATGCTTATCATAAGTAGCATTCAGTATTTTACTTTCTCTAAAACTTGCATATAGTGAAAAGCACAAATCTAAAGTTCATCATTCAACTAAGTTTTGACTTTTATATACATGTATCCTGCAAACTTTCATTAACATAATAATACTATCACCTACCAAAGTTCCCTCTTCCCCTTTTCACCCTTGCAATTCCTGTCTGTATCCTTCCTCCTATTCTGCTTTTTTTAATTTAAGATTTATTTATTTGTGCATGCAGAGTTGGGGTACAGACCAGAGTTGTGGGGCGTGGGTGGTGTGGGCTTGTGAGAGGATTCACCAGAAGCAGAGAAGGCAGCAGAACAGGTAGATTGACTAAACACACTGCTAAAGGGAGCAGCTGGCTGGTCAGGAGAGGTCTGCCAGGCCATGAAGATCACCTCTCTGGCCTGTCTGAGGAATCAAACTCCTAAGCAGCTGCAGCAAGCTTCATGGTGCTGCATTTTAACCTGTTGTGCCACCAAGGAGGGCCCCTGTTCTGCTTTGAAACAAGTATTCTGACTGTTCTATATTGTGCATGCTTGGTAGTTTAAGATTTTTAAAATTTTTTAATTTTGCAAATTTTACTTTACTATTATAAAAGTTGACTAAGCATGCCTGGAAAATACCCTGTTTCCAAAATGAGACAAAATCCAGAAAAAAAGTTTAAAAAAAAATTGTCTGGAACCCCATTGTAGCATTAAACAGCAAAAAATTATGGGTCTTAGTCTGCTAGGGCTGCCAAACAAGTAGCCCAGACTGGATGGCTTAAACAATCAAATTGGCTTTTTGCAGTTCTACAGGCCTGAAGTCCAAGAGTCTGATTAGGTTCTGATTAGGCCTCTTTTCCTGCTTTGCAGATTACCACTATTAAGTACCTGCGTCATCTCTATGCACAGAGGTAGAGCTAGCTCTGGTTTCTTTCTCTTTTAAGGATACCCGTTCTGTAGGATTAGAGCCTCACCCTTCTAACTTCATTTCACCTTAACCTATCTGTTACCTCTGAACTTGTGTGCCTTTGTTGTGTATGATGTCTGCTCAGGGGCCTCTTCCAGTTACCTTCTTGATGAATTTCTGTGAGTGGAATACTATTGAAGCTAGACATCAGATACCAGTCAGTAACTGATTTTGAGTAGTATGGTAATTAGGTACAGACAATTATTTTGTGTCATTCCCAAATCATGATACAAATGATTTAATAACAACACTTTTGTACCTGCATGAACTCCATTTGGTCCCTGTCTGTGAGTATCACCCAAGCTTTTGGAGTCTAAAGTAAAGAATAGGGTACCTACTGAGACTGTAATTCTTTTCCTTCTTTCTCCCTTTGCAGTTTTGAAGGAAATTTACTCCCCTCCCCCACTTACCTTTAGCTTTTTCTACTATCTTTTCTGCCACTTTTAACACTAGTTTATAGTGCTCAACAATTCCTGTACAAGTACATTTATCAGTTTAAAGTTTGTCCTATTTTCTCAGATTCAATACTGTCCAATAGCACTTTCTGTGATAGGGGACATTTATGCTAGCCAGTGTGGTAGCCACTGCAACATGTGTCTTTTGAGTACTTGAAATATGGCTAATGTGACTGTGGAGCTAAATTCACAATTTATTCAAAATAATCTTATGGATATGTTATATTAAAAACCAAGTTCATAACATATGTTAATGATTCTATGGAGTTTAAATATTTGTTGTCCTACATTTGGTAGACTGAAATTTGCTAGATATCATTGGTAGACTAAAATTAATTACTCTGTTACAGACCTAATACAGGTAAATTCTCATCACTGTATAAAAAAACTTGATGGTATGTTCACATTGTTTTACTGGTAGGAAATATGGCTACATAGCTAATGATCATATTAAAAACAGGTTAAAGTTCAGAGTAAAGAACTCTAGGCTATGTCAGACTATATAATGTTTCATTAATGATGAAATTTTATCAGTGATACTACTGACAAAAAAAGGTGCTGAAGAGGAGATAAGATAGTGTAGTTGAACTGGTTTTGGATCTGACCTTTGCCTGTGTTTCATTTGTCTGAATTATGCACCTCCTACAAGCGGTTTACTTCTGTATTGAGATTAGAAAAGGCCAGTAAATTGCTAATTAAAAAGTCAGGCTGATAGAAACAGAATCTGGGCTGCAAACTTAAATTGAATGGCCTAACCAGTTATTATAATTGGACACAATCTAGATTCATTAATGACTGGCAAGATAAGCTATGGTACCTGCAGAGGGTAGAAAATACATGTAGCTATTAAAAATATCTTCAAGGCATTTTCAGTAACAAGGGCAAAACACTCATTGTATAATATTTAAAATGTTACATAGTACCTTCGTTTTACAAAGGTATTCAGAATAGAAAAATAGAAATAATTCCAAGAGGCATGTTCAATTATTGATAATGCCTAACTAGATGACTTAATTTTTTTCTAATTAAAAAATGTCACAATAAATGCTTTTATTTTAACAATTGGATGAAGAAAAACATGAAAGGTACTCTCAATGGTGGATTTATAGGTTTGCAAAGGAAAGTTATGTTGAACAGAGATCAAGCAAAGTTGTGTTTAACACACATTGACATTCAGTGTCAGCTTGTTTTCAGTAATAAGTATATTCCTAATAATACATGTTTCTATTCTCTTGATTTTTCAAGTAAAACCTATTTGTCAAACAGTGCAGGCTCTTTCCATCTACAGCACATAGCCAACAAAGGGTCCCATCAACCTTGATTGTCACATACTCAACAAAACAATCAGTGTAATTGCCTGCTCTACCCCTCTTTCTCTATCATATACATAAGAGCATATACATATACATAAGAGCATGTAAACTTATAACATTCTCTAAAGTTTATGCTCTCTAGAGACAGAATCTAGTGATGCTTTGCCATTTTTTAGTGATAATAAAAAAGAAGTAGGGGAAAGGGATTATACCCTGTAGGTGTGCTCACCAATCTTTCTAATCTTGGTCCTTTAGGTTACTTTACCTCTGTTTGATTTTTGAGAGCTGAATCTTTTTCAAGTGGGGAAATTCTTGGGAAATGTGAGGTAGGGTTACTAAGAAAAGGTAAAAGTAATTCCCACTTGTTCTGTGGCCAAGAAACTGGGAACAGATTTTCAATTCTTCTCTAGTGGCATGTTTTGTCTTACTTCTTACGAAATTAATACTTAAACCCAATAAAAAGCTAAAGATTAATATCTGCAAGTTAATCACTACTGGTAGTTTGTTATATATATATGTTTCCAAAAGTTTTCAACCTAGCATCACTTTTTTTTTTAAAGATTTATTTATTTATGCATATAGAGTTGGGGTACAGGCCAGAGATGCAGAGGGTGAGAGGATTCACCAGAGACAGAGCGGGGAGCAGAACAGGCAGATCGACGAAGTACACTGCTGAGGGGAGCAGCGGGCGGGTCAGGAGAGGTCTGCCACGCCATGTGGATCTCCTCCAGGGCAGGCGGGAATCGAACTCATGAGGAACTGGTTTCAGCTTCTTTGTGCAGTGCTTTAACCCGCTGCGCCACCAGGGAGGGCCACTAGCATCACTTTTTACAGTGATAGAGAAAGAGGGGTAGAGCAGGCAATTACACTGATTGTTTTGTTGAGTATGTGACAATCAAGGTTGATGGGACCCTTTGTTGGCTATGTGCTGTAGATGGAAAGAGCCTGCACTGTTTGACAAATAGGTTTTTCTTAAAGATTTATTTATTTATGCATACAGAACTGGGGTACAGGCCAGAGGTGCAGGGGTGGTGAGAGGATTCACCAGAGAGGATTCACCAGAGACAGCGTAGGGAGCAGAACAGGCAGATCAACAAAGTGCACTGGGTCAGGAGAGAGGGCTGGTCTGGAGAGGTCTGCCACGCCATGTGGGTCACCTCCAGGGCGGGGATGGAACTCATGCTGAAGTGGCTTTACCTTCTTAGTGCTGTGCTTTAACCCGCTGTGTCACCAGGGAGGGCCCGCAAATGGGGTTTTAACATTAATAAAACAAGATTTACCTTGTCATCCTTCTAAGTAAAATTAGTAGGGAAGCTAACATGTTTATTTGGGAATAGCAGAGAATTGCTGTTCAGGGTACACAGATTTAGGCAGAGGGAGGAATCCAGGTTCTCATGGAGGGAAAAAGAAGGGTGAGGTAATAATATTGTGACTGGGTGGTCCCCAGGAAAAGGGGAGGTTTCAGGTTCCCTGCCCCACCCAAGAGGAGGGTGGAGATGAGCTGTGGAGAGAAGGACTCAGAAGAAGGAGGAAGCAGGATGGAGAGCCAGAAGTTTCCTGAGGGAGTCACATGGAGCAGAGAGACATGAAGAAACTTTGTTTGTTTCTGGTCCTAGACTGGGTGAAACAGATGTGGGTGAGAGACCTGTAGGGAGGTGACGATGGTAATGTTTATCTTGATTTTGATTTTGCTCTTTTCCTCCCAGACTTGTCTGGCCATGTCTGACCATTTTCTCTGGGCCCCACCAGAAGGGGCTTACGACTGCGGCAGGCTTTCAGGCCTTGCTTGGGCCAAGCAAGGGTGGACTTTTGGGTAGACTTTTACCCTTGAGGAGGCTGGTGACTTTGGATGTTTGGTTTCGAAATTGTATTCTTTGTCTTTTCTGAATTGCACACTCATTGTATTAAAGTTTCTTTCCACTAAAGGTCTTAATATGTCTTTTCTTGATGTGACAGATAGCAGTTACTGATGTATTTAGAGCAGGCAGGTTCGGGGGTTGTTCAGTGGTGCCCCTCTCCCTGCCCTGTAACAATCAGAGGCAAGAATCACAAGGTAAATAGTCAGGTGGTCACAAAGTCCTTTTAGTCCTTATTAGTCCTTTCAAATGCAATATTCTTTTTCTTGTTGATTTCTTGGAATGTTGGTAGCTTGGCCCAGTCCAGGAGTTCAATCCCATTTCAAATAGGTGGCTTTCTCTAGTCCTATTTTAATATGGCTCCAGTGCTGTCTCTTCTCACAGCTTTTCTTTGGAGCCAAGAAAATAGAGACGGTGCCCATTGTTAGAATTACTGGTAGATATTCTACCTGTCCTTATAAAAATAAAAATAAAGGTTTTCCTGGGTAACACTGTATTGGCCTGGTTTCTTCACTCCTAACTTAAAAGAGTTGTAAAATATCCAAAGCTGTACTTTTTGCTTAAATGCTTCTTTTTTTAATCACTTAACTTTTCCATTCAGGTTATTATTTTTTTATTTTAAATATATATAGGAATTACTCAAGGTGATGAGGACGATTGATGACAGAATAGTACATGAATTAAATACAACGGTTCCAACAGCTTCCTTTGCAGGGAAAATTGATGCCAGCCAAACCTGTAAACAACTTTATGAGTCTGTAAGTGCATCTTTTGAGTCTTTCTTTTGTACTTCTTTTGTGGCTTTCTTTGCAGCAAAGTAAGAAATCATTTGATATTAATTAAACTGTGGACACAGCAACAACCCAAAGGAACTGAAGAAAACATGTCATCATGTTTACAAGTCTGATAAGATAGTTGTAGAAATGATAGCAGTTGTTTTTTGCCCCCTCATGGGCAGCCTTACTTTAAGGAAATTGTATGTGCAAAAAAATGAAGGAGAAAGTGAAATAGAGGGGCAAGAGGAAATGCTTCAAAAGAATTAATCCTAGGAAGCCAGACAGCTGATATAAGAATGAAAACCCTCCACATCTGTTAATGCTCCTTGAAAAGCCACAGACTAATTGTCCTTATCCAGGATTTGGGTGTCTGGAGTATATATTTTGCATGCTTCTTAAAAATTTTCTTTATTATTATTTTTAAATATCCAAAGGCAGAAAGAAATAAAGATGAAGCTAAATATTTTTATACAATTATATCTTCGTGAATTTAGGAACTAAAGTTCAAATGGCATTTGCTTTTTTAGGCTATACCACAAGATTGTTATTTAGATTCATAATTTTATTAAAAAAAAAAAAGCATTACCTAACACCTAAAGTTCATTTCTCAATTATAAAAAAGAATCAATTTTGGATATTTATACTGATTGAATTTAGGACAGTAACTGCAGACACTTTCCGCTTTTATATTATCTTGCTAGTGATCAGGTAATTTTTATGACTTGAGAAAATCTCAAGGTTGTGGATTTTAATGAAAACAATCTAGCATTGGAGTAGAGAATGTGGGTCTCCGTCCTTGTTTATTTTGAGGTTGTTCAATAATTTACTTAGTTTCTTGGAGTAGCTCTATCTGAGGAACTAGAAATTTATGGCGACTTCCCTCAATGCTCATGTCATCTATAATCTGTTCACTTGCTTTTGTTTTAGAGTTTATCTACTTAGAAGTTTGTAGTATAATGATTAATTAATGATTAATTAACACCATGTATTCTGGGACTAGATTAAATCCCACCTCTGCTACTTCCTAAATGCTTGGCTTTAAGCATGTTCTATCACCTCTGTCATTTGTAGAATTGTGTTATAACAGTACTTACTTCTTAGAGTTGTTAGAGGATTATTTGAGTTAAAGTACTTACTCTCTATATAAATGCTGGCTGCTTCTGTTACTATTACTAATTCTTATTATTACTTGTCCCTTTGTTGAATTAGAAAAACCTTGCATACTAAATTTGAGACCTTTCTGCTCTGGAAATAGTTATGTTTGGGTTTTTCTCTGTCTACATCCTAAATGGCTCCAACACTGTGAACATCATATGAAGGGCTGTTACCATGTATTTTGCACTAGATAAAGATAATTGCCCTGTAGCAGAATGTCCATGCCACTAAGTACCACTGAGTTCTCTTTAAGTATTGTCTTGGTTAAGAAGTGGAACTCTATGAAATAACCAGGTTGTTCATGGTCACCCCAATTTATTTTAGTCCTTGAATTCCCTTCTGTGGCCAAGGAATGAATAATTGCACTCTCTAATGATAATACTTCTTCATAGATGATCAATAAAGTTATTTTGAACCACTAATTTCAGAAATTCTGCTTAAAGTACACTGTTGGTAAAAATTAAAAAATTTTAATCCCCTTATTAAAGCATACTCCCTTCAATCTGAAAATTTTTTAACTTCACATTGTTTATTCTGACTACAAGCACATAAATCAGCTTTGAACAAGAAGAAGTTTATGAACTTGAAACAGTGCTTAGCAAATACAAAATAGTTACTGGTGCCATAGTGATTAATTTAGAGTAGTATTTCTTTAATGTAATGAACTTTTGGTATATATGTTTAAATGGAATGCTTCTGCTTATATTCTTTAGACAGGACTTCTGGAGGAAGATTTAAAACAAAAAATACCATGATAGAAACTTGCTAATATTTTGTTTTTAATGATGACTAAACTAAGAGTCATTGTCAGGGTACTAAATGAAATGATGTTTGGGAAATGAGAATGTGGAGTTAATTTAGAATCAACCGTTCTTCTAGAAAGAAAAACACCAAGAAACTAGAGTCAGGAAAATCATTGACTTGTATATTCCTTGAAGATCATTGACTTTGTATATTCCTTGAAGGCAAAAAGCATTGTTTTATTTATTCATTCATTCATTTATTATATTTGTTGGTTCATTTATTATTTTTCCAGGTTTATAACTTACAAATTATCACATGACTTAACATTAGCTTCTCCAGTCATGGAGAATGGGTGGGGTATAGTTTAGAATCTCTTTATGTTGCTTTCACTGCTAGAGTCTTAACGTGTAAGACCAGCAAAGTAATTCCCCTTTATGGTTAAAAATTCAGTCTACCCATGCAAGCAAGTGTAAGAGTTGAAATACTTTTTGATACCAGTGAAGTAGAATTGGGCCTCAGTTCTGAGCCTGCCATAATTTCAGTTTTGCAGAATGCACAGATCCTATCAAAAAACATTGTTTTAAATAAGGGATCAGGAAAAAAGACAAAACTAGTAGGCAAATATAAATTGGAGACATTCAGCAGGGGAGGAGGGAGAAGGGTTAAAACAGAGGTGAGGGAAGAGCACAAGACTAGTGATGGTTCACAATGGTTTGCTGATGGGAATTTTACAGGGACTATACCTGAGAGGAGAGATCAAACATTGTACAAAAATGAACAATGATGTGAAACACACACTCACACACATAAATATTAAAAAATAAAAAACATTGTTTTAAATTAATGATTGAAAGATAGGTAAAAAAATTTTATACCAAAAGAAATCCTTAAGGCTCAGCTAAAATAAAGTAAAAAACTGAGAGAAGTCTTAGGTACACCCCCTTTGTTACCTTCTGAATCATTCTTCTGTCCCACCCCAAATGCCTTCATTTCAGAATTGCTTACCCCAAACCAAAGGAAGTATGGTTATAATATGGGTATTATTAGGGATTTTTCTCCTATAACTAGAGGCATCGCTTTTACTTCACTTCTCCTTTGATAAGCTCTTACATATCAAATAATTCTCATGTGAGCAAACCCTTGAGCATTATGTATTGTCAATCAACTAAACCTGGTTTAGTGCTACATTTTTCTCTAGTAGGCTTGTGTTTTGTTTTGTTTTAAGATTTTTATTTATTTTGCATAGAAGAACTGGGATTAGCACAGAAATGCTGGGGTGGAGAGGAGACAGGATTCTCAGAGACAGAGCTGGGAGCAAAACAGGAAGATCAACTGAATTACACTGCTGAGGGAACAGTGGGTGAGACAGGAGAGGCCTGCTGTGCCATGTGGGTCAGCTCCCTGGCAGGAGACCAACACAGACTGTCAGGTGGGCATTCACAGTGGTAGCGCTGACACTTAATTTCTGGCCACCAGAGAGGCTTCTCGTGGCTTATGTAACAGTCTATTATTAGTTATCAAATGTTCTCATTTCTTTGATATACTTGTACTAGAGCCATGCATATTCCTTCACATACACCATTTAGTTCTGAATTTTATTGAAAGCTAATCATGCAATCCGTTCTTTTTTAAGTTTTTAAATTTTATTTTTTTTAATAATAGTTTATTTTTACATCATTTTGGGCCTTTTTCCATCTTACTTGGAATCCCCATGGATCAATCCATTCTTAACAAGTGATAACAAAGAGGTGAAGATGATTTGTGCGCTCATGACTGCCCATACGGGAGTAGGTTCTCGGTGTCACTCATTTGAAGGAATGGTAGGCAGGTGTATCCACAGGAATGGGCCTGGTTAAAGAGGGAAGTAGTGAGGAAAACCCAACCAAAGAAGATAGCTTTGTGTTGACAGAGACTAAAAGTAAAATATTGAACATTTCAATAGAGTGTACACAATTTGAATTTTACTTTTTAAAAATGTTTCTGTATATATAGAAAAATACTGTGACATATCTCCAGTTGGTGCTAGTGCTATTTCATCAATTGCTGGGGGGACAAGGGAGTAAACAAAATAGCTAAGTGATGAGCATCTGGCATCAGAGCTGTGAATCAAGTCACATTACCCTTAAATTTTAGAGATAGAAAGTACAGCAGTTTATTCATAATCTATAGCTAATAAAAGAGGAAATTGAAGCCTGGAAAAGCAAATTATTTAACCATTCTCATACTGTTAACAGGGAAAGCTTAATTCTGAGGAGTTAACTTTTATTCTGTTTTAGGAAAAGTAGTTCCCTAACTTCAGTGACCCTATAATTTTCTGTAATTGTACCTGAAGGAGTAAACATGTAACAGAAGGAGCATATTAGCCAATGAAATAAGGATCTTGAGACTGCCTTTGTGAATCGTAAACATTACAATGGGAGAAGCTAGCATATTAGAGAAATTTACTGTAGGTGAAGTTAAAGGGTATTTGGATAGTTTAAAATTTTACTCTGTTCACTTGGGTACAGTTTTAGTTTTATAGTCAAGAAATGCAAAGGTATATTCTTTTCCTGGTGTTTATTAGGCCAGTGGTTTGCAACTATAAGATTCCTTTATAACTTATGAGATGTATTTTATATCGCTTAAAGAATACATATAGAATGATTAGGTTTTCCCTATTATAATTGTTACTAACATAGCATTAAAATATTCAGAGGGAGGAAAGAGTGTTATTACATGATTACATGGAACAAAGTTAACACTTAAGTTTTAGTTGGAGGTAAAGCTCCATTTTAGGTACCATTAGTTATAATGACAAGTGCATATTATATAAGTTATACTGCTTTTCCTGTCCAAATATTTGGAGTACCATCAAAATTTTGGGCTATTAATCTGTCAGGTATCCTTACCTTGAATCATCACTATATTGATGTAATGCAAATCTGTTTCATATGAAATTTTTCCTTGTTAATTGTTAAAACTTCAAATCTTGGCCAGGATTCTGTCTTTCATAAGTAAATGTAACACTTTTTGCTTCTCTTCATTGTAACTGAGGCTCCTGTGCATGACTTAGTTTGTAATTTCTTCTACATGGCTACATTGCACATGGTGACAGCATGGCCTATTAAAAAATACGAAAGGTAAAAAAAGAGGAAAACCTCAAAGGAAGCCCCTCCAAAGGTACACGAGAGGGAGTGTCAGGTAGAGGAGGAACTCGCACACGGATGGGGTGATGGGGCTGGGAGTGCAGTGGGAGGAGTGGGAGCCCCAGGAGCGCAGTGAGGAAGAGGCAGAATTCACGCCTCCCCCTTAGCGAGTGCCCTATGGGCTGGTTCTGAGTGATTTATGGAATTCTACACAATCTTCTCTTTCATAGATTTGGGTTTTGAAAGTTGTCTTAGGGGACAGAGAGGGACCAGAAGGACAGAAGAATAAAAAAAAATGAAAGTTGTGTTAGAAAATTCTAAATACCGCTAATCTACAAATAAGATTTTTTTAAAGAACTAAAACAAGTTTGGGAGTATAATGTGATTTTTCTCTTTTCATTCCTTTTTTCTTCTAGTTGATGGAGGCTCATGCCAGTAGGGACAGAGTTATAAAAAATTGTATAGCTCAAACCTCATCAGTAGTAAAACAACTCCGAGAAGAGAGAGAAAAGAATTTGGATGATTTAACATTATTAAAACAACTTAGAAAAGAACAAACAAAGGTAAGTTCTCCACTTCTGAGGTGAAACTTTCCCCAACTTAGCCTACAGTTTTTATATGAAAAGTGTAAATTTACTTTTCTTTTTAAAAGGACCAGGACAATAATTGGTAAGTTAATGTGTTTGTCATAAGGTTATAACCATATGCATTGCAGCAGCTTTAGTAAGCATGTAATAATTTTTTATTCCTTTGTATATTCTTTTCAAAGAGAAAACTACATCAGAAAATCTAGGGAAATCACATTTATACCTACTTTTTGAAGTTTGACTTGAGAAGAAATGTTTCTTTAATGGTATTTATATTTTGAAGATCTTAATTTTGGTTTCATTCTATAAAAGTATGCTGAAATGTAACAGAAATTTAACTTAAAGCTATCACCTCTATAGTTATAAAAATAGAATATTTAATTATAACCAGATACATTAGCATTATAATATACCCTCCACCCCCTTCTATTCTGATATAATTTTAAGTTTACAGAAAACTTTCAAGGATACTATAAAAATTCCTCCCACGTACCCTTTATCTACAGTTGCCTTTTTTTTTTTTTAAAGATTTATTTATTTGTACATACAGAACTGGGCTACAGGCCAGAGGCTCAGGGGTGGCGAGAGGCTTCCCCAAAGACAGAGTGGGGAGCAGAACGGCAGATCGATGAAGTACACTGCTGAGGGGAGCAGCGGGCGGGCCAGGAGAGGTCTGCTGCGCCATATGGTCACCTCCGGGGCAGGCGGGAATCGAACTCATGCAGAAGTGGCTTTAGCTTCTCAGTGCAGTGCTTTAACCCGCTGTGCCACCAGGGAGGGCCACCTATCCTTTGTTTTGCCCAACCTGCTATGCAGTCCGTTCTCTCCACCTTTCCTTCTCTCCTGTTCTGTCTTCTTCCTCTCTCCCCCACATACACCACCTTTTTTTTTTTCAGAACCATTTTCCATTGTGAGCGTATCTTAGGCAATTGTATTCTTTACACACACACACGCGCGCGCACACACACACAGACACACCACATTGGTATTTCCTAAAACTCGGGATTTTTCTTCTATGATCACTGTGAGTGAATCACATCTGTACTTAAGATGGCTCAGTAGGTGACTGAAAACTCAGTGTGGGATATAGTCATCTTTCTCATATTCAACAATCATGAGGTTTGCCTTTACTTAGTAGATGTGACCAGACTTGGAAAGGGGACCTTGTTTCAGGCCTCTGCTCATGTAGCTGCATGCAGGTGTGTGCATTTTCTGTCACTCCGCTCGTTCAGTATTTCTCACTGGCTATAGGGTTCACCCACTCTCTTTCTGTTCTTTGTTCATTACTGTTGTCAGCCCTATATTTCCTTCCTGCTCATGCATCAGGCAGTGGTGGGTTCTGCAGACAGTGGACATATCTGTAGTGGTTGTATTACTCTACCCATGACATTTATAAAAGCTTTTGGATAAATGCTATAGAACTTCTTAAAATCTAGTTAATTTTGGATGTTACATTTTAATAGACTCTTGAAAGCATTGATAAAGGAAACAGCAGAGCAGGGCTGTTAAATCAGAAAGGAAAAATCGCTATTTGCAATTATGTCAAATAAAGAATAGAGTAACTCTTGTTAGTAGAGAGCAAAGTCCAAAAACCACTGAGTATTTGTTCAACTGTCTTTTTTGCTCCTGTTCCTTTAGGGCCCAGAGAGAGTGGACCAGTCACTTGCAGACAGGTTTTAGAAACCAGTCAGTGAATTATGAAAGGCTTTCTAGCCTGCTAATGTGTAGGAGTAGAGGGTAACCATAATCAGTACTTAAACAAATTAGGACATTTATAAGTTGAAGATTATAAAATCAGAAAGAGATGACTCTTCGAGATATTCCAGCTCTACCTCTTTTCCATATGAGGCAGCTGAGAGAGATACTAAGTGACACCTCCAATGTCACAGCTAGTGAGTGATAGAACTGAGTCTTTAACCCATCTCTTTGGACTCTGGTTTCTTCAGTCATTGGTTTTGTATCAAGTTGTGATTAATCAAATTCCAATTACATCTGTACTAAATTCTTAACTCAGAGACTGCACATTCCTTGCTGGAACTAAATAGTTGATACTGCCTGTTAGTAGCCTTTGTGGAGAAATTTACTTGTTTAAGACCCAAAGTCTAAAAACATGAGAGGTAGCATTTTCTTGGTGGCATTGAAATTGTATTAGAAGTTGGCTGTAATATCTGCAGGAAAGACAAAAAGCATAGAATATGAAGGCAGACAGCTCTAAGGATATCACTCTGATCTACTGCTCATGTCTTTTTTTAGTGTATAAAGTGGACTTGATTTTTAATAATTTATGTTTTCTTTTGGTTACAATTAAGCTAATGTATATAAAAGCTAGTATATCAACTTTCAGAAAGTCAATATAAAATAGCCTTTTTCCTTTCTGCCTCTCTGGAACTTCATATTTGCTGTTTTAGTCTTTTTTTTTTTTTTTTATTACATGTCCCCCGTCATTGACTTTTACCTTTTGTTTGTTTACTTAGGGGTGGAGGGGAACTCATAATCTTCCAGCAGTGCATTCCTATTTTTGGACAGTTGTAGTTGTTCAAAGATTTCCATATATATTGTAAAAATCTGTATCCCTCTAACATCTAATTACTGCTCCTTAATCTTCCTTCTGGAACAGGACAGCATAAGTCTAAACCCATTTCTAAATGACATCCTTTTAAATATTTGGCAGTAGTCATGAATTATCTTAGTGGCATGTAGTGAGCCTATACTTTGAAGTTGTTGTATCTTTGACAGTAAGTGCAAGTTTTGATCCAAGAGTGAGGCTTTAATGGTTTCTGGCCTGTGTAGATGATTAAAATCTGAGACTGATGTTGCTTTGATGTACGGGGTAAACTTCTCTAGGCTGCTCACTTTTCCACAGTGACCAAATGTCAGAAATAGTTCTTTCCAGATTTTTAGTGTCAGTCCCATGTACCTGAATCTCGGAATGGAGTTTTCAGGGATCTATTGGGTCAGTAATAAGTTTCAGTCTTAACATTACATGCACATTTCTCAAACTTCTTGCCAAGTTGTACTCCTGGCTGTTAAGATTTTTTGGCCTGAGTCCCAGACTCATGGTTTTCCTAGCTTTCTAGCATTTGTTCTCCAATCTACTGTCTGGCCTTAACTTTTGACCTGGTTTTACCTCGGCCTTCAGTTCATGACTTCTGCCTTAATTTTCTTGAGTACTTAAAAGCCTTCTTCCTAAAGCCAGCTAACATTTTCCTCCTAAATCTCTCTGGTTACAGGCGACTCGGGGTGGGATGGATCCTGCCATCTAGGTCTGGCCATGGGATTAACTACTTTTCTGATAGAGTAATTAGGTTGATTGTTACAAAGAAAGTTAGAAAAGCCTCAGCATTTTTAGCTTCAGACCTCTGGCTCGATGGGTAAGGTGTAGGAATTCATGGTGCTTTCTAGATGCTTGCACCTTCCTTACTCTTGTCTTTCCCTAAGTCAGCTCGCCACCTCCTTGTCTTTTTTATTCTTTTGTGCTGTCTTTGCAGATCTGTTTTATACTCCTAGAATTGGAATTACTGAGTTCTAGAATATCTTGATAAATTTTACCAAACTGTTTTCTGTTGAGGTTGCAACAGATTATGTTCCTACTAAAAATGTGCATAAGTATACCTTTTCTTGTGCCTGCACTGTTATGTTTTACCAGATTTTATTAAAATTTTTTTGTCATATTGTGGCTTTATTTACATTTCTTTATACATATATAGGGTCATGCATTTAAACAACGTTTATTGGCCATTGAAATTTCTTCTGTGAACCACCTGGGCATTTGATCTCTTTAAAACCTTTCAAAGTGATTGTAATCTGCAACAGAGATTGAGAACCATGGCACTGTGAGAGTCAACAATTGATCATATATTGTAAAAAGACACTGCTAAAGGCTCCAAAATCTAATGGAAATCATTCCATTAAAAGAATGCAAGAGAAACAGCTGGTGTTGTTGGAAAAACACAGTAGTTTAACTTAATATTAAAATTTTCATGACTTGTTTTTTGTTTCCTTGCAGTTAAAATGGATGCAGTCAGAATTGAATGTTGAAGAAGTGGTAAATGACAGGAGCTGGAAGGTATAAAATAATGTTGGTTTTCAGAGAGAACTAGAAGGAAACTGGAAATGGCATTTAGGCAAAGAATGTAGGGAGGCTCCACAAAATATGTATCATTCCAGTGACTGTGTTAGGGCCACTAACTAAAGCCTCCTCTGAGCTTTGAGAGCTTAAGGGAAAAGCCAGGGCTGGAAACTAACATAAGTTCAACTATAAAAAGAAAGAGTCTATGTCATTTTTACATGTTTTCTTTTAGCTGTGAATAATACTAGAACCTTAAAAGCTCCCTATGTAGTTCTTTTTCTTTTTTTTTTTTTTTTTTTTTTGGCTTGTTTTTTTAAACTTAAAAATGATTTGCAACTTATGTCTTGAAGTCTGAAATTTTTTGCTATTTTTATACCTTTTTTAGTGGGACACTCAATTTTTAGATATATGATTAATTTTTTTAATATTATAGAACACACAATAAAAATGATTACTCTTGTCTTTCAGCCACCTCATTTCTCTTCTCTCGGTAAAGATATATATTTTTTCAGATGTTTGCATTATTTAAATTTTTAAGGTTATGTATTGTATGTATCATGTATGTATGTATGTATGCATACACAACACATACACACACACTTTTTCCCTTTTGTTACACAAATGGAAATGTATTGTCCACATTTGTGTTTTCCTCTTACTATATCTTAGAGAACTTTTCAAATTAGTACATAATTTTCTTATTTTTTATACTTGCATTATATTCCATTGAATAGATGGCTCTGTTTTCTCACAGTGGACTAAAGATTTGGACATAAGACTTGAAACCATAAAATACATCAAGGAAACATAAGTGATAGGCTCCTAGATATCTACTATACAGAGGTCTTTGGGGACTTGACTCCAATGGCAAAGGAAACAAGACAGATTTTTACTGAATTCAGTTCTGTAATGATGTGCACTTGACCATAGAACATTCTGTTGACATTTATATTTGTTTAGTTTTTTAGAAAGCAGGTTAATAGAACAAAAATATATTTAAATTTAATATTTAATATCTATAATATAAAAAATTTAACAAAGAAACTGGCTTTCCTTCAAGCATACCTATTTGTGAGAAAGATCTGGCTACTCATTTTAAAAAGCACAACAGTTAAATAAAACCTATGCCATATATAGAAAGCTTTATCTTAAACTTTTTTTATTTTTTATTTACTTATTTTTTAAATATTTATTTATGCATACAGAGCTGGGGTATAGGCCAGAGGTTGGGGGGAAGGGTGAGGGAGGGGAGCAGAACCTGCAGATACACTGAAGTACATTGCTGAGGGGAGCAGCGGGCAGGCCAGGAGACGTCAGCTGCGCCTTGTGGGTCAGCTCCCTGGCCTGAGATTGAACTTATGCTGCAATGGCTGTAATAGCCTCATAGTGCTGTGTACCAGTTGCACTACCTGGGAGAGCCCTTAAACTTTAGATTTTTTTTTTTCTAATTGTCCAAAAAAATGTTTAAAGTATATTTTCATGAACTAACTTGTGATGATTTTTCCTTGAGTAATTTAAATTTTACCAAAATATTAAAATTATTTACAAATGGATATCAAGGCCTTCTCTGTTCTTTGTGCTCTTAGCACTAGTAAGTCAGTTTGGTCTTTAGGAAACTTCTCTGTTTCTAAATCTGTTGATTTGGGGGTAAATGGTATTCTCCCAACTAAGGCCAAATGTAATTTAATTCTAGACCTATTTATATGGGGTGACTCAACTACTTTTGTTTCTGTTTAAATATCTCAGGTGTTTAATGAACGCTGTCGAATTCACTTCAAGCCTCCAAAGAATGAATAAGAGGTTACTGTTTTTAAACGGACCGAATCATCTCAGAAGAGCTAAGAATCACAGACATTGGCAAGGTGGACATCCTAGAATGATTTCTGAGCCAACAGTCCAAGACATTTGGTTGATTTCAGCCCTACTTAACCAAGACCTCAAGTATAAATAATTCTGATAATTATGGAGAAATCAACTGCTATTTTATACTGATTCTGTAAAAAAAAAAATGTTTTGTAACTATTAAAATAATTTTCTGACTCAGCGTACATATTTATTTGATTGTTTTCCAGGTTGCAATAATAGATCTTAAAGAAGGGTTTGAATGTAATTTCAATATCTTATTTGATTTGTATTGTGCCTTTTTTGATTTTTATAATTTATTGTCATGGACATTAACTCTTTTGGTCACTGGCAATTTTACCCTTTATATATTTTTGTGGGTTTATTGCTTTTAAGTAATACTTAACATTTTAAATACTGTCCAAAGAAAGTTTCTCTCAGTACTGTATTTTATTTTCATATGCATAAACTGAACTTGAGTGTAATGTATTGCCTGGACAGTATTTCCATAGACAGTGAAAAGGGAAATGGTAAAACAAATTCAGAAAAGGAGATTTAAAAAGGATTGCATAATATTTAAATGCATCATTAAAAATCTGTAATTGTAACATTTCATTATTGCAAAAAACACATTTTAGTAAGCATGATTGGATTAGTTTTCTGTTATGCAATTTAGCATCTTAAAATCATACCTCTTTATTATAGTCCCATGGATCAGAAATTCAGGCAAACTTGACTGGGCTCTCTGCTTAGGGTATCAACAGGCTGAAATCAATTTGTCAGTCCAACAAGTCTCTGGGCTGGGAGGAGTTTGCTGCTAAACTCATTCAGTTGGCAGAATTCCTTGTGATTGTAAGGCTGAAGTTCCCATTTCTCTGCGCTACTCTGCTACTGGAAACTGCCCATATTTTTTGATTGTTCTTTCCACCCCTCTTCAAATTAGCAACTGTGTGGAAGGAGTCCTTTCGATTCTTGGAATTTCACTTCCTTTTCTGTGGTAAGTCAGATGACGTGCTTTTAAAAGTTTTGTAAAATTAAGATTCTGTGCCCCTTGAGGCTTCAGACAGAAGCCATCTGGTAAGTTGAACACCTGTGTTATGGGCTGCTTTTGAGTATGAATTTCCCCCCTCAAATTGTTTGACAGTCAGCGATAATAAATGGTATAAACAAAACTTGAACAGTCAACTGGGAGTCAGATACCGTTAGCTGTTGCTGGGGACAAAATTATGACCTAGTTTCAACAAGAAGAAATTTAAAACCAGCAGTGAAGTAGGTTTTCTATAGGACTTTGATACCAATGTTAACTGGCAGAAAGTTGACTAATTACTGGATTGAAGAGTGAATTGTAAGGGTGCATGGCAAAAATGAAACAGGACTTAGCAAAGATCTGGATGCTCAGGGAGAATTCAGAAACTGTCCTTATGAAGGACTCCTGATAACCTTTATAGAACTTCGGATCTGCTAAAAAGTACCACCTAACTCACCCGACTACGTTGTAGAATGCCTTTTCATTACAATATAACATTAAAAATGTGCACAGAGGTGTGAATATAAATGAATATTGGTGTGTTTGTGGTGAATGGTATTTAAAGCCTCAAGTAAGAAATGGATGGTGTGTTGCTGTTGAGAGTTGATTTGCTTGCTGAAACCGTCTTGTATATAACTGCTGCTTTACAACAGTTTGTAGGTTTTGTTGCTGAAGCATCAGTAAAATGTTGACAGGAAAGGGAATGTATAGAAGTGCAGAGATTCCTTTGACCCTCAGCAGGACAAAAGATAGTCCTACAAGAAGTGTAGATAATAATCAATTTTGCTAATTCTAACCTTTGAGTCTAGGCTCTATTAGCCACTACAAAAACATTACTAAATTAAACAGGTAAAACTGTTCTCAAAGATCTTATATGTAGTAAAGGGAGACAATAGTAAAGAAGTAAATAATATGCTGAAAGCTGGTGAAGTTCCTCTTGCTTTCCCTCCCCTCTCCTCCAACCTCCCCCCCCCCCCAGAAAAAAAAGCAGGGACTGGGGTGGAGAGTCGAAAGTGAGTGCCAAGTAACGGTTTTCAGCTGACTGGAGAACATTACAATGCCCTTGTCTTCAAAACATCTATTTAGAAGTCCATGTAACAAAAAGGAAGGTTACTAATAAGCCATTTAAAAAAAATTTTTCTCCAGTCTGATTGTAATCCTGAAAGACAATCCCCAACGACATAATACCAAATGTTGAAATCCTGTAAGTGTCTCTGAAGTCTAAAAGCATGATGTTACAATCCCAAATGGTAAAAAAGTCCCAAATATTTAAATTCTGGAAGCCCAAATCTTCAAAATTGGGTTAGACCACAATCACACTCCAAAGCCAACTGCAGTCAGTGTTTGAAAGATCATAGTTGGAAGTAAAAACAGGTGAAACACAAGAGATCTGCCTGTCACATTCAATCATGTACAATTTACTTAACAAATAGCATCATGCTTGTCTTCAAAAAACACCTTTTGTCAAATAATAAAAGTATTTCTGCAAGAGCAGCAACCTTTTAAATAGAAGATATTGCTGATATAAAGGCTGCCCCAGTGTTAGAAAATATTTAATGGTGAACTCAGGAATTTGAAGATAAACTCACATTCACTACTAGGTCTAACATAAAAACTAGTGCAAGCTTCACTTTGGATAGTGGATGGTACATTCAAAACTCCTAATGTTATATTAATCAACTGTACACCATGCGTCTGTTGGATCCAAAAATTCTGGAACATACCCTCTCATTTGTGTATTAAAGACTGGAAATGCAAAACTCTTAATAGATTTGGTGAAATTGAAGATGTCAATAATAAAGTTCTTTCCACCTAGTGTATTTGGCTAAAGATTCAAATGTGTAGATAGAACATGATACAGAAGCAAGGATGAAAACCTCAGTTTCCAAATGCATTTGTTTCTTCATTAGCATTCCTCTTTCCAGCTGATGAAATTCCCGGGGCTTTTAGTGAATGAAAGCCAAGTTTGGCTGAGGAAGCCAGTGAAGTCACAGACTGGTTCAAAAAGAATTATGTATATGGTGGGATAAGAAGATAGACAATGGTGGTGGATTTGATCACTGGTATTGTTTGTGGTCTGTAGTGAATGCATATGGAATGGATTTCTGCATACCCCAAATAACATGGCACAAACAATGCGGGTATTTAATAGGGAATGCTCTTGTTGGTGTGTTTTGAGCCATAAAAGAATTTCAGTTTCAAGAAATACCATGTAGAAAATGTACCATGTAGAAAATGAATGTGAACATATATTCTGAGGCGTATAAGGGAAAAAGCAGGTTGTATTTTTTTAAACACTTCTTTGTGATGCAAGAGTTCAAAATACAGTTAATGCTTGTGAAAGTCAGCCAGATTTTATGAGTTACCTCTTGTGCAACTGGCCATAATCTATCCTTGTAGCACAATCACATGTCAATTTTTCTTTTTTGTTGTCTTGTTTACTTGTCTCTTTTAAATTGGTACGAGTATTTTTTTCATAATTTGCTATGCCAATCATTTCATCTTTGCACCATTTCCAATACTGGAAGTATAAACTATGTAAAGACTTAGATAAGAGTTCTAATTCATTTCATGTGATTTTTGTAAATTTGACTCCATGACAGCCCTCACAAAATTGGTTTTCCACGTGAGCAATGTGTGTGCACATAAAAACCTTGTAACTGCCTCAATAAGAGACGTCCTTTTTGTATATCTCCATTTGTGAAAGATAACATTCTCTTGATACATGTTTAAGATATAAAGTGGCCTGTGAATTAGTGTCCTGTTTTTATGTTTCTCAAATAAATCCCTTTAAAAATTTAAATAAGGATCTTTGAAATAATTTTAAACTTACTTTCCCCAGAATTCTTTCTGGTTTTGATATTTCAGGATTTCAGTATTCAGGTGTTTGTCTTTTGGGATTATGACCGGAATCCTCCGAGAAAGATACCAGTTTAGCAAATGTAAATGTAATCCCTGTTAGTAAATCAGCTAGCACTTTGGCATAATGTATCAGAAAGTGGTTAAGAGAGAAAATCCTAAGAGGGCTCATAAATGGGGAAAATTTTATTTTCTTTTAAAATTTTATGTGAGATAATGGCTGTTAGCTGAAATTATTGTGATCATTTCACAATATATGGAAATCAAACCTTCAAGTGGGTGCCTTAAATTTATAGTGATGCAAATATTTCTCAACAAAACTACAACAGTAAATAAAAAGATAGTCTTTGGCAGCAAATTCAGGGAGTGCCTGCCAGACAGCTGGGGTTGAGTCCCTGGACTTTGCAAGTCAAGAAGGTATTCTCTCTCTGCCTCTTTGACAACTATAGGGTTTTGTTTGTTTGTTTATTTGTTTTAGAAGGGAAGGGTGTGATAAAAATGTTTTAAAATCGAAATGTTGCAAACATTTTGAATATACTGAAAACCATTGACTTGCACATTTTAACTGGGTTAATTGTATAAATAAATTCTATCCCAACAAGGTTGTTAAAGGGAAAAATGGCAACCAACTGAAACACATGGCTTTGGACAGGCTCTTTTTGCAATAAAGGACATGTTGGGGATGATTAGGGAAATTAAAATGGTTTCTGAGGATTAGATGGTAACAAATGTTTCAGTGTTTTGTTTTGTTTTGTTTTTCCTGCTTGTTACTTCAGATGGGGTATTCCTGTAGGTAACTTACTCTCAAATGTCTAGGAAAAATGCTTTGTTAAAAACTTAGCTGTAAAGTTGAGATTGTTTCAAAATGTAAACATATTTTGTAAGATACCTGATTTAACATTTCAAGTACAAAGGGAGTGGAGATGGAATGTTGGGTTCTCAGCTAGCAAAGGGCACTGATAGCTAATGATCGGCTGGTGGTGGTAGCTTATACTAACCAGTTATTAGATTTCCAATTGACGTTAGTTCATATGGATTTTCTACTATAAAGCAACAACATTGGTTTTGAGACATAAAGTGCAATTACTATTTAATACAAAAGACCAGAAATAGTTGATGAAATCAATTTATTTGTTAAATTTTTTAGCTGGGATAGTGAACATAGAGCCAGTGGAAGGAATCAAACAAACCACTTTCGGAACATGCCCTAAAAGCCTGTCAGCTCATCATCCTTGGATTTGTCCGTCTGAAAACCAGAAAGTGTCAAGCCCTCATCTCTCTGAAGACCGCTGAAGACCTTCAAGTGAATGTAACGATTATCACCTACTCGCACCTGAAAGTTAAACAAAGAAAGACACTGATTCCCACAGATCTACATCAAGTGAGGGATCTGCAGACCTAGAAAAACTTCACAGCAGTTAAAACTAATTTTAACAGATGACACTTATCAACTGTTTGCTGTGAGTCAGACACTGACGAACATCTGGTATATGTAATTACATTTTTTCCTATAAGCCTGAAGAAAGGTGGAACAAACTCAATTTTATAGATTCAGCAGCAGATTGAGAGATAAGTAATTTCCATAAATCTCTCAGTAAGTGTCAGAGCCAAAATTCAAATCCAGACTAACATCTATCTCCAACTCTGCTGAGTAGCACCTTAAAGGAATATATTCTGTGCTTTGATGCAAAGGGCATCAGTTTCTGCTTAAATTCTTAAGGTGACACAGAAAATCGCTAAGCACAAGGCTTCTTGGGTTGAAGTCCTGGCTCTGCTCTCTGACAGTGTGACTTTTGTTAATTACTCTACCTCCTTGGGGCTCAATTATTTTTAAGGGAAATAGCCATAATTTTCTCACAGATTCACTGAGAGGATTAAATGAGATAACATATGGCCAGCTCTTAGAACAATGTCTGGCACATTGTAAGTGCTCAGTAAATTATTTGTTCTACATAACACCCTAGAAGTAGGTTATCATTATCCTCATGATACTGATAAGAGCATTATCTTCAGAGAAGATAAACTGTATCACACAAGTTTTGACAAGTCCAAGGACTCAAACTGGAGAGTGTCTGGCATCTAAGCATGCAAGCCTTCTATTTTGCCACTCACCCTTTAATAGGTGAGTGAGGAAGTCTTTTGAAGGCAGTATCGGATTCAATACAGGACTTGGTGTATAACAGGTGCTCAGATTGTGTAACAATGAGGTGAGCCATTTATATAACCCAATAGGAGATTTTCTGGTTGATCATTTACTGATTGATTTTTTTTTATCACCTATACTATTTCTTTGCTGAAAACATTAGAAAAATTATATCTTAAGTAGTTATTGTTTAGAGAGAAATAAATCAGACTGTATTCTGGCCAAATGGTTTAGTAAAAATTAAGTACATCATGCATTAAATCAGAAAGATCACCTTCTCAATACAAATGGATGGAAATGACTTCAAAATCGCTAAGGCTGACTTACTGAGTTGGTTTCTTCTGAATTTCTTCACACATGTTTTCTTCAGTTAATTTTTTGATACAGCTGTACAATTATTTTAATAACTATTTTAAATGTGCCACTGCTTTAAACCAAATCTATAGTGTCACAAGCTGAGTCAGCTTGTTTATTTGAGTTGCAAAAATATTAATTAAATTATATTAATCAAAATACCTGCTTAAAGGGAAAAAGAAGTTTCAATGATTCATGTTACTCCTTTAATATAGATACACAGAATCACAAATCTTTGAGACTAAATAAGCTTCCAGACAGCATCTGGCCCTCCACCAGGCCTTCAGCCAATTGAGATATTTTCTTTTATTTTATGAAGCAGCCAGGGCCACAAACTAAACATGTTCTTAACTATTATGTTAATTTTTTCTTTATAATTTCTGGAAATTAAGAATCAATATAGAAAAACTTTCTAAATTCACCAGAAAAAGATGGCATAAAAATACCACCAACTGCCAATCAGAAAACCTGCGTCTTGGGATGTATCATGGAAGGAAGGCATATTTATTTAAGGTGAGAAGAAGAAATAAATTATGTGAGAGAGGTGACAAGGAGCCATCACACAAGGAGAGAAATATTTTTTAGCGCCAAAGTACATTTTGAACACTAACCTTAATGTAGTAAAATATTCCAGCAACCACTTGGGTTTTGTATTCTTCAACTTCAAATTCTTCATAAGTCTCATTTGTTTGTTGTTCAAGCTGTGGTTTAACCTTAAGAAAAGAGATGACAAATTATCAAAGCTATATTGGAATCCATTTATGTGACTGACATATCCAGAAACTCACATTCCTGAAAGTCCTCCAATGTGATAATGAGCTCTATGAGCTATTCTTAGAATTTCAAAGAAAGGAAGAGACCTATCTTTAATAAGATGAAATGACTTAACTAAAATGACTATTTTTTCTTTGCTACTTCAGCCTAAGCTGATTTTACATCAAGTCAACATGATCATATTATAATAGCCATTGTGCCACAGAGCCACATAGAAAATATAGTTAATATGCCAATAAGTTAACACTAACTGGTAAAGTTCTACTATGTCTTTGACGCTTTAAAAAAGAGAGAGACATAAGTACTACTTCATTTCAAAGTTACTTATTTTGAAATCATTTCCAACTACAAGTTGTAAAAATAAAACAGTAGTTCTCAGGATTTCACTTGATCACAGCTAGCTCCAAGTCCCTTTTACATGTGTCCCTCTCATTAGTCACTCTACCTCCCCAACGCGCAATCATCTCTGCACCCGAAGAGATAAGGTAACATATTTAGAATGTTCAGGGAATAAGACATGGCCATGGCTGGAAGGCCCTCAATCTGCCTGCCTCAGAGGGATATCAGAGGGATATAAGCGCAGATGCCAAGTGTGAGAAAGGAAAGTCTCAAATTCTATATGTAAATTTCTCCTAACACACCAGCATTCTGACTAAGTCCCCCCTTGTTGCATTCTTCTGGGCTTGATGTGTTAGTGCTCACTCTGCAAGAGTGGGACAACCTCTGCAAAGAACACAGCTCCAGTCTTCTGCAGAGCTGAGGGTACCTACCGGTGGTTTGCCTTCCAGGGTGTTGGTGAGGAAAATGCTGTGGGGGAAGTCTACCTGTTCCTCACACTATCTCCATGGACTCCTGCTTCAGTCCCCATACCTCACTCTCATCTTGGTGAGCTCTGATGTGACTGGTGCTGAAGCCGTCTCGGGGTTGTAGGCAGGAACCTGCCTGCTCTGCCTCAGACATACCCCATGTAGCTGAGGCCTTTTCCAGCCGCCCACTCGCCTTCCACTGTTCACCTGTTTTCTATCTTGCAACATCTGGTTGAGATCTCTGAGTGGCATTTGCCAATCTCCTGTTCTCTTTATATATTTGTAGATCAGATCCTCATGTAGAGGAAAAAGGAAATAAACGTGTTTTTGTTTGATCAGCTTTGCTTATTGGGAAGCTGTCTCCCTGCCCTTGGCTGAAGAGCTTCGTGTGTTTACACTGTCCAGGTGGGGCCCCCAGCGCATCGAGGGTTCTCCTGAGGCCACCCAGTCCTTCACCATCAGTAGGCAGATATTTTGACTCCTTTGCTATTGGCACCTCAGCTTGGGTACTAGAACTGTTTTCAAAGACACAGATATTGGCAGATTCTTTGAGTTCTCAACACTTTTGAGTGGCAAAACTCTTAAGCTGCCACTCCTCAACTATCATGCATTTTTCTTCCAGACTCAGAATAGTGGGAAGTGTGTGATGCTTCCCTGAGATGGAAAATGAAGTTCCAAAGTAGAGAAAGGAAGCAGACAAATAGTGAGGAAAAAATAAACAAAAAACAAAAGAAAGAGGAAGAGGCAGGCGGCAGGAGACAAGTGGGAAAGGCTGCAGAGAGAAGCTGAATCAAGAAAGAGGTTATATTTTCTTTTGAGCACATATCAGAAGTTTTTATTTCTCTCTGTACTAAAACTAGATCCAAACCTAAACTTTTCTATCATACCTCTGCTGTCCACAGTCCAGAATTTTCTGGGAGAGAGTTGATTTCCAATGACCTACTTCATTCGCTGACATGCACCAACCCCTGTCAGGTGGCGTGTCCTGGGCTCAGGCTCACTATACTCTGCCTGCAGCCTCACTCCTGATTTCCAGTAAGAGATTGATATTGATCTGTGGCCATACAGATGCCATGAGCCTGGGGTGTGAGATCTAAACTGAGGAGCAGGAAAAGGAGCAGAGTAGGAAAGGAGCTGGTCAGAGGCAGCTTGGTGTTGAAAGACCCCCCCACCCCCCAGGATGGGTGCTAGAAAGGCGAAGGCAGCTGGGAGTGGTGGTCTGGCTGGCAGTAAACAGAGACACCTCAGCTGGCACAGGTGGTGTTCACCTCCCTCAGTCTGCCATGTGTGGTGGCAGCAGAGGTGCTGAAGGAACAGTGAGGATTTGTTGCTTGGGCCCCAGCCAGTGGAAAGATCCTACCAAGGAGAAGCAGCTGCCAGTATACAAGGGCTGTTTGAGCTTTAGTTATTGCCACATACACACTTCATCTTGGTAGATTTACTTCTCTAGGACCTGTGGCTTCATGCTTCTCCCAACAGCCAGGTATGTCTGCCTATGGTCATTCTATGCAAACATCTGGGCTGTGCCCCATTTAGTGAAGGACAGAGCAAGCAGTTGGTGGCAATAAGCATAGGCCATATTTGGGGAAGTTTTACAGGGGAAAGACTGGGCAATAGTTTGAAGATACAGTAGGGCTGATGAGAGGTGACTAGTTGACTTTTACCATCTAACAATGTTTTGAGGGAAGGGGAAAGTCTGGAGCATGGTGTCCGGGAAGCAATGAATGATGCCACCCAGCATGAGAGGAAGGGTTGGCTGAAAAAGAGACAGGCTGGAGGGAGGAATGAGCTTCCCTAGGGGATGAGTAAATCAGGGCATTCTCACCCAGGTGAACTAAGTCTTACAAGAGAAGGCACGAGGGACTGTAAGAAGGGAGGAGCAGGAAGCAGGAGAGGGGACTTTTAGATCCACCTCTGTGGGGTTTCTAGGGAGAGTCCCAGGGGCCTGCTGGGATTGCTGGATGGCATGGATTCACAGATTTGTGATGGGCGAGCTCTCTGTGGTTCTGCACCTTCCTTGAGCTCAGTTGTCTAATCACAGGGCAGAAGCTGGGGAGGAAATGGCAGAAGTAGGAGTGACCTCTAACTGAGGATTGTACTGCCAACAGCCTGTGGAGTCTCCTCTCTGGGGTGGAGGAGAGCATGAAACCACCGTCCTGGGCCTGGGCTGGGGAAGGGATCCTGTGGGTCCAGGCCTGCTCCCCTGGAGGCAGGAGGGTGAGTGCCTGCAGGATTTGGTGTTGTTGAATGGCAGGTTCTCTGGGTGTGGGAGTAGGAAGGGTGACTGATGAGGAGGCTGCGGTTAGAGAGGAGAGCACACATTTGTGGGTGAGTGAGAACCATGACATGCTAAGCTCCAGGGTGTGTCCAGGATGGTATGCAGATGTGACATTTGTGGGGTGTCCTGGCGGACCAAAGTCCTGATCAGTGGGTATGACAGGAATGGTATTAGCAACCAGGTTCATGACATAGATGTGTGTGTGGGTGCGTTAGTGATGTGTAATAATAGTACTTGTTTCTAAAAATAATTATTGTAATAGTATTTCTTTGATACACATAAACATACCAGGAATTCTCATCCAATGTTGTTTTTTTTTTTTTTTTGTAAATCTATAAGACAATGGATCAGCAGTAATGATCCAGAGGCTTTTGCCGGGAGGTCAGTCAGTGGTCTTTATTTACATATAGGATGGCTTTTCAGGATCACATATGGCTCTTTATTCCCCTGTGTGTATCTCTTATATCCAATCTATTTTGTTAATTTTCCTGGGGGCAGGGACCATTTTTTACAAACTTCTCCCATAGCAATTCACACAATACTATTCACATAATATTTTTTGAATGAAGAGACCAAAGTTGTTTCCCCCAAACAGATAAGAATGTAGAAAAAGAATATAGCAATGACTCTCAACTGATAGAAAGAATCTTAGAAGACAGGGTTTCTTCCTGGTACTCAGGACCTCAGAACCATTTCACCCTTTGGTATGTAACACCACCACCACCACCATTGTCTGGCATTCTTCCAAATGGAGAGATTCTTCTCTTCTGGCTTAAAAAATGTTCAAGTCTTAAATCCAAGCTTTCCACTTGACTTTCTTCACTTAATATTTATATATTTAATTTTCACTTTAGTTAAAAGTACATTTGATAGTTTTATTAGAAGGATCTACATTGTGATTTTTCCAGTTTCGTTAAGAAATCACTGGTGAAGTTTAGGTACATGGCACAATGATTTGACTTACATGTACTGTGACAGGATTGCACAGTAAGTTAATTATTGCATACAGATAGAGTCTTCATCCGTGATCTCATATAGCCATAATAAAAAGGAAGGGCAAAAAAAGGTTCTTTTTGAGAAGAAAATTTGGTTCTACTCTCGTAACTACTTTTCTATACATCAGAGAGCAGTGTTACTTCTGGCAATGATGCTGTGTTCCATTTGTAGTGTTTAACTGTCATATAGCTGGAAACTTTTACCTTTTAATCAGGTATTTGTAAGTTTGACCTTTTTTAAATCAGATTTCACATGTGAATGAGCTATTATATCATTTGTTTTTCTCTGATTTATTTCATTTAGTATAAAAATTTTAATGTCCATCTATGTCTTCTCTTTCTGACATTCCTTTTTTGTTTTGGTGTCAAATCTGGTGTCTACAGTTATTTATCTTTGACATTTTCTCCTCTTCCACGTGATAACCTACCCCTTCCTCCTTGACTAAATTCTTCCTTCAGCTGGCATTCCACTAAGAACCTCTCTGATAAGGACAGAGAAAACTATCCTTATTATAAATAAAGGCAGTATAAATTTCAGCTTTTCCAAAAACACCTAATCTCTAATTAAAAAAAAAAGTCTCTTAATGCATTAAAAAATCTATAAAGTAAATGACAGGTAGTAAAAGCCATTCCTGGGACTCCCCTGAATCATACTAGGTATTACCAACACCTACCCATTTGCTTGGCCTTGCAAAGGACTTAACTAATTCTGTAATCTTAGAAATGTGGATTAAATTTCCTCTACCTATGAAGTGGTTACAGTAATACCTGCCTGTTGGGGTTGTTTGTGGGTAGTAAGTGATATAATTAATGTTAAAGTGTCTCTTAAACTCTGTCCCTCTGCTTTCTAACACTTAGTTGAGAATTGTCCCTAAGGCTGTGTCCTGTTAGAGAGGGCAGATAAATCATAATTGGGAATTTAATACCTAAGAAGCTGAGCTGCCATCCAGTAATTTACCTGAAAGAAAGGAGGTATGACAATCTCTGATGTCCTTTCAGATTCAAAACTTATAATTATGAAAAAGTACTTAATTGCAGGCTGTTTTATGGCATATTCTAGATATCTTGACTTGTCTAAAGGGACTGTAAACTCCTTGAGAGCAGGTGCCTGTCCTCACGTGTCTTCTATGATGTTTAATACAATGCTGGATATTCAAGAAATGTACCTACCATGATTCATTGATACTTATTTGTCATATGCATTTAAATCTGAGGCTGGCTGCTTGCATAGAGTAGACAAATTTTATATCATACTTTCTACTCTGAGTTTCTACCCACAAATTTTCTGGTTGTTGTGTGGTGGGAAAGGCAAGTAGTCAAAAATATGGAGAGAGACTAGTTTCTTCTATATGGGATTTAAACCTTGAATCTCAGTCTCACCATTTGAAAAACGAACACAAACCTCTCCCTGGCCCAGAGGTTTTGAAGGTCAGTGAGACGTTGAATGAAGGGCAAACTTAAAATATCAAAGCACTTGATTTATTTCAATTTTTATAAAATTTTGAATGCCTACCTATGTCTTCCTTTCTGACCTCATCTGACATTCCTTTTTTTAATTTTAGTGTCAAAGTTCTTAAATCTGCAGTTATTTTTCTTGATATTTTCCTCTCTTCCATTGTCCTTGGGAACTGAGGTAGCTACTATTAGTACCTATCTTTCTTATTCTACTTCTCTGACAGTGTTGGAGCCTGGGGTAAGCAGCAAGGAAAAACACTTTCATACTAATTTTGTAATTTAAGATATAACTCATAGAGGATATTATTAACAACAAAAGGCTTTCTGACAGCTTCCTATTTAAAAAAGATAATTATTTTTGCTAACTGACATAGACTTTAAAAAAACATTAAAATTTCCTAATCACATTTCAATCTCTCTTATTCCCCATACATCACAGCTTTAGAAGTGATTTCAGGCAAAATTTTGAAGAAAACATTTGTGATACCTTACCTAGCCATATTTTTTTTCTTATTTTAGAGGCATTTTTATGATCTCACTTAATCTTTACAGTTTTGAGATTAGCAGGGCAAGAGGTATTATCTTTATTTTATAGGTGAAATTAAGAATTTTTTTTTGGCAGTACTCTGACTTTAGAAAATACATTTCTCACAGCCATATGGATCTCTGGTCCTGTAAGTAAGTGAAGTCGTAGACAGTAGCTTGGGTATCACTGGGGAGATGGTTAGAATCCCAGACTTTGAGGCCCACCCTGAATTAAAATCTGCATTTTAACAAGATCCCCAGGTGACTCACACAATCTCAATCATGAGAACACTGACTTACTACAGGGGTTCAAATGAAGATATTAAAAGCTTAACATTGTCTTCTTCATACAGTAAGAATTTTGAGTTATTTATATTGTAAAAATATTTAGTTTCAGTGTGTGAATGGTAGAATTCTAGAATGTAACCTCTTAGAGAACTTTCCAGTATTGATACAGAGAATCCTATCACTTCCACTTACCAAGAATCTCTCTTATTTGCCAAAATCATAGAATCAAGTTACAGAGAGAAAGAATAAGACGTGATACCAGAAAATAAGGCAATAAATTACAAACCTAAAATAGACCATATTTTTTCTTTTCATAAAATATACAATACAATAAACCTTTGTAACATTGATAGTAACTAATCAAACCACTTAAAAATGTATTGCCTTGTTAAAGATTAAGTTCTATTTTCAATTTTAAAAGAAACCATGAACTATGCTACTTCTCTACTAATCTAACTCCTCTAGAGCTACTAAAAGACTGAAACAGTTGATTTAGTTAAATTTGCAGGAAGTTTGTAAATGAATCAGCTTTACGATAATGTTTTTTATGAAATATCTTTAAAAAATTCTTTGAAGTACAGGGGTGCCCGGTTCATCAAATTGTTAACAACTTTAGACTTTAATTGCACCTTGGCTCCACTCAATGAGATTAGAAACATTTCATCAGAAACTGAATTAGCAATCCTAGAATCATACTTAGTAAGAACTTTAGAGATGAGGAAACTGGTGCTCAGAGAAGGGCCTGTTTTACTCCAGAGGACGCTCACAACTGGGATCACTAGAGATTTCTACAGCCTTTTAGCTGTAGGGGATCCTGAACACAAATGCTTCTTTCTAACATTTCTCTTTTCACACTCATCTATATTTTCACTGTAAGGTCAACCTAAAAACCAAGATTCTGGATCAAACATTTTCATGGCTGTATCCACTCACCTCATTAGCAATCTTCTGGACTTCTGGAGTAGCAGGTTTGGCATCACTTAAGCCTCCGGGCATCATTTTGGCTAATTGCTTCTTTGCTGGGCAGTGTGCTGGAACAGAAATGATCAGGTAAGTGTGGAGACTCCGATTTTAAAGAGGGTGGTTGTTCATAAGCTCCGCCTATAGAGCAAAAAGGTCTGGGGAGAATGAGTATGTCTTGGGGCAAGGCTTGGTACCACCCCAGCAAAATATGCTGCCAGGAATTTGGAATAATGAGGGGCCGGGGATGGGTGAATGGGTGTGTGGAAGGAGTCACACTGTAATCAGAGTCAGACTTCCTTTTTTCTTTTGGACAATGGTTCCAACATGTTGCATCTGAAGTATGAAATTTGAGATCATAACAAAGTTTCTCATGGTTTCAAAATCTCGAACACAAATTTTTATTTATTTATTTGTTCATACAGAACTGGGGTACAGGCCAGAGGCTCAGGGGCGGCGAGGGGCTACACCAGAGACAGAGTGGGGAGCAGAACAGGCAGATCCATGAAATACACTGCTGAGGGGAGCAGCGGGGGGGTCAGGAGAGGTCCGCCACGCCATGTGGTCACCTCCGGGGCAGGCGGGAATCGAACTCATGCGGAAGTGGCTTTAGCTTCTTAGTGCAGTGCTTTAACCCGCTGCGCCACCAGGGAGGGCCCAATTTTTACTTTTTAATGAAACACTTAATATTTATATATTTAATTTTCACTTTAGTTAAAAGTACATTTGAGGCCCTCCCTGGTGGCGCAGCGGGTTAAAGCACAGCACTAAGAAGCTAAAGCCACTTCCGCATGAGTTCGATCCCCGCCTGCCCCGGAGGTGACCACATGGCGTGGCGGACCTCTCCTGACCCGCCCGCTGCTCCCCTCAGCAATGTACTTCGTCGATCTGCCTGTTCTGTTCCCCACTCTGTCTCTGGTGAAGCCTCTCGCTGCCCCTGAGCCTCTGGCCTGTACCCCAGTTCTGTATGCACAAATAAATAAATCTTTAAAAAAAAAAAAGTACATTTGATAGTTTTATTAGAAGGATCTACATTGTGATTTTTTTCCTACCTCTTTTTTCCAGTTTCGTTAAGATAAATCACTGGTGAAGTTTAGGTACATGGCACAATGATTTGACTTACATGTACTGTGACAGGATTGCACAGTAAGTTAATTATTGCATACAGATACAGAGTCTTCATCCATGATCTCATATAGCCATAATAAAAAGGAAGGGCAAAAAAAAGTTCTTTTTGAGAAGAAAATTTGGTTCCACTCTCGTAACTACTTTTCTATACGTCAGAGAGCAGTGTTACTTTTAGCTATGATGCTGTGTTCCATTTGTAGTGTTTAACTGTCATGTAGCTGGAAACTTTTACCTTTTAATCAGGTATTTGTAAGTTTGACCTTTTTTAAATTAGATTTCACAATGAAACACTAATAATGTCAAGGTTGGCTATGTAGAATTTAATTGACTTTTTTTTTTTTAAAGATTTATTTATTTATTCATACAGAACTGGGATACAGGCCAGAGATGCGGAGGGTGAGAGGATTCACCAGAGATAGAGTGGGGAGCAGAACAGGCAGATCCATGAAATACACTGCTGAGGGGAGCAGCGGGCGGGTCAGGAGAGGTCCGCCACGCCATGTGGTCACCTCCGGGGCAGGCGGGAATCGAACTCATGCGGAAGCGGCTTTAGATTCTCAGTGCAGTGCTTTAACCCGCTGCGCCACCAGGGAGGGCCCCTTAATTGACTTTTTTAAAGAAAGTAAAAGGATATGTGGAGACCCTTGGCTGAATATTTATATTTTATTTTCATTTAAATTTCTAGAACTGTTTGAAATATAGAAAAACAAAAAGAATAAATCAACCAACACCTAAATTTCTATCACCCAGAATTACAACTTTAAATGTTTTGGTATTACTGATATTGATAGCCATCTTTTAAAAATTTTAGTTTTTTTTTAAAGAAACTAAATATTTCAGGCCCCCACTCACACCCCCCACAGAGGTAAATCACACCCTGAGTCTGGTATCCTTCTAACTCATGGTTACATATTATGTTAAAAGCACACTTCATTTGTGTGCTAAACATATAACCTGTATTATGCTCTTTTTCTTTTCAACATGTTTTTGAGCCATTCCTTGATACACAGATCAATTTAATTTACTTCCTTTACTGCTGTTCTGTGATCTCTCTCTCTCTCTACCTATCTACCTACTTATCTCTCTCCTCCTCCTTCATCATCATCATCATCATCATCTATCTATCATCATCTATCTCTATAACTTTATGCTTTTCCATAACTTACATACTCATTCCCCTAAGGATGAAGATTTTTGCTATTTCTGTTTCTTTCACCTTTATAAATAATACATTCTCTTCCTTTTGTGCATGTACAAGGGCTTCTGCAGCCAACTTGTCTAGAAACAAAATTGCTCCCTTTTGTGAATATTCATTTGTAATATTTTATTCAATTTTTGGATGATGTAAATAAAGTACACATGATAAAAATAAAAGGGAAACAAAAGTTTATAATGTAAGGAAATGTCCAAACTCTATATTTCTCAGCCACTTTTCTATACTTAGAGAAAATGCCTTGCCTTTCAACAATACCAAACTCCTCCAGACACTCACCCTCCCACCTCCATGGGACCCACTTGATTCCTCCCCTAGCCCAGACCCCAGGACAGTGATTTCACACTCTCCTCCACCCCAGATAACCATCAGATATTTTTACACATAATTATGTACCAAAAAATTAACTGGGCCCTCCCTGGGGGCACAGTGGGTTAAAGCACAGAACTAAGAAGCTAAAGCCACTTCAGCACAAGTTGGATCCCCACTCCGGAGGTGATCCACAGGGTGTGGCAGACCTCTCCTGACCCACCCGCCGCTCCTCTCAGCAGTGTACTTTGTCAATCTGCCTGTTCTGGTCCCCACACTGTCTCTGGTGAATCCTCTCACCACCTTGCACCTCTGGCCTGTACCCCAGTTCTGTATGCATAAATAAATAAATCTTAAAAAAAAATTAACTATACACATTCATCTGTGTCTATATACTTGTCACTTGTACAAACAGTAGCTTATGACATCAGGTGTTTTGTTTGCTCTACCTCTAACAATCTTTTGGGGATTGTTTTATGTCATTGCACGTGAAGGTGCATCATTCTCTATAATGTTTGGCAGGGGCTGGACAATGTCTTAGAGGTGTTTTACTGGATAACCTAAGATACGCTATTAGGTGGCTCTTCCTAGATTGCCTTTCATCACATATTGAGAAGAATAGCAAATGTAGGTGACACAGTGCTCGTGCAAGAGGCACATTGTCATAAGACAGGCTCAGCTCTGCCACAGATAATCTTTAACATCTTCCTGAGATCTTCCCATGTGAGTCTTCTCATATCAGGGACTCCAACTTTTTTCAAAGGTGCTGCCCATTTTTACTCCGCTGTTCACCAACTAGTCCATATTTTCCTTGTCTTACCTCCCCAGCAGTCAGCTATCAGGTAAATAGCATCTCTTCTGTACTTTTCCTAGCACTGTGCCCTGGTATTGTTAAATACTCCTCTTGTGACTCAATAATTTATTTTAGAAGCAAAGACTGCCCAAAGCAAATTCTGCTTTTGTCTTTGAGTTCCAACTATAATATTGTTGGCATTCAAGGTAGTAAGTGTGCGGATTGATGGGAAGAGTCATGGAAAATAAAATTCAGAAAAGCAAAACACAGTTACTGTTCTGTGTTAATCATTTCATTAGTTATACAATTAATTGAATGCACACTTATTTCTAAAGTACCTTTAAGATTGCTCTATTGAATCTTTCAGGATTTCAATTATTAAGGCTAATTTATAGAACTGTACATTCTTGCATCTATTGCATTTTTTATATGTGAGCTTATCTTTCACAGGAATTATTTTTATTGGAGATTTCTCTTTGTAGGATGCTGAGTTGGTGTGCTTCCTTTTGATGTAGTCATCTCTACTGGATGCTATGGGCTTAGGTCTGCTGGCTTACAACTCTTAAAATGATGAAATATTGAGAATTTGAGCTTGTCTCCCGCCGTTGTTACAGACCCAAGTCTCTGGATTTCTCCAGATGACTTAGCTTCCACCAATGGCTGGGATTAGTGTAGGGGCTACACTCCATCATTCCCATTCCTGAGTATGTGGGAGCAAGAAAAACAGATTTCCACACAACGACTTGTGTACCTATGTTCATATTCATAATAGCCCCAAATCAAAACCCATCCAAATGCCTATCAAAGGGTGAACAGATTAAAAATATGCTATATAACTACTATAGAGTACTACTGCTCAATAGCAAAAGGAGAAAAACAGTGCATTCAGTAGTAACAGGTGAGTCTCAAAAATCAGTCAAAGTGAGAGAAGTCAACATATAGAATAATGGACTGCTTTATACCTACAGGAAACCCTAGAGGAGGCAAAACTGCAGTGATACAAAATAGATCAGGCTTTCTGGGTGTGGGGATGGCAGAAATGATTGACTGAGAAAGGGCACATAGAGATGTTTCGCAAAGGGGAAGTTGTTCTATCTCTGGATTATGCTCATGGTTATAGCACGGTATACAATTCCCAGAATTCATCAAATTGATACTTAGAATGGGTGACTTTATTCTATATAAGTTATACTCCCCCAAAGCTGAACGCTTTCTTTAGGTGTCTCCTGGTCTTGCATTTGTACTTCTTCTTCCAATGTTTTCCACTAGTCTTAATTACCATTGCATCAACATATTGCCTTAAAAAGCAGTTGTAGGCCCTCCCTGGTGGCGCAGCGGGTTAAAGCACAGCACTGAGAGGCTAGGGCCAGGTCTGCATGAGTTTGATTCCCGCCTGCCCCGGAGGTGACCATATGGCGTGGCAGATCTCTCCTGACCCGCCTCAGCAGTGTACTTCCTCCATCTGCCTGTTCTGCTCCCCACTCTGTCTCTGGTAAAGCCTCTCGCCACCCCTGAACCTCTGGTCTGTTTCTTTATGTATAAATAAATAAATCTTAAAAAAAAAAAAGCAGTTGTAAAGGCACCATTTGAAATGTGTTCTCACAGGGAAGTTATTGTCAGGTA